CCGATTGGTCCATAATTGATCATAGCTCCCATACAAGGTCCCCTCCCGAAAATCACTTAAACGCACATAACTCATTACTAAATTAAGATATCCATATAAAGTTTGGCAGAAATATTGCTCATATACAGAGAAATATTACTGTGAAATTGTTTTCCGATCGATCCATAATTGATCATAGCTCCCATACAAGGTCCCTTTCAGAAAAACACTTAAAGGCACATAACTCATTACCCAATAATGATATAAATAAATACTATTTTTGTTCATAAATACTATTTTGTAATGCAAAAAGCACTTAATGCTATTTCAAAAATTTTTCACGATCGGTCTATATTTGGTCATATCTCTCATACTAGGTCCTGCCCCTAAAAGCGCTTTAACTGTATTTAACTATTTGCATTATCAATTTGTGTAGAACAAAATTATATATATGTATGTATTTTTAAAATCCTTAAATCTTTCACACACATGCATACATGCAAATACGAGATATCGCTAAAGCATATCTTAGGGCGCTATAAAAATTTAAATGAAAGTGGCGTTTCTAATGTTCAATAAATCTTGGAATTGTAGTAGATTTAAGCTGTTTAAATCTTGGGATTTTTCTATTTAAGACATGAGAAAACTTATTTCTACAAATATTTTATTAATTAGAAATGTATTAATACAAAAAGTTGCTGGTGGAGGGTATTTAAGATTCGGCTCAGCCGAATATAGCACTCTAACTTGTTAATTGATCAAATATTTGAAGTTTTCTCATGTCTTAAATAGAAAAACCCCAAAATTTAAAAAGCTTAAATCTGTTACAAGTCCAAGATTTATTGAACATTACAAACCCCCTTTTCTTTTATATTTTTATAGCGCCCTAAGATATGCTTTAACGATATTTAATAATGTGAATGTATGCATGTGGCTGAAAGATTTAAGGATTTTCAAAATACATAGATATATAATTTAGTTTTACACAAATTGATAATGCAACTAGTTAAATGCGGTTAAATTGCTTTTAGGGGCAGGACCTAGTATGGGAGATATGACCAATTATAGACCGATCGCAAAAAATTCTTTAGGCTAAATTTCTGTACATAAAAGCTATATTTTAGTAAAATTTTGTATCTATATCGTAATTTAGTAATAAGTAATGTGTGTTCAAGTGATATTCTGAAGGGAACCTTGCATGGGACCGACTGCACCCATGTTATGGACCGATCGTGAAAAAATCTTGAAATAGAATTTTTGTATACCAAACTAATATTTGTGCCAAATTTTGTATCAATAGCTTTATTTGGTAATGAGTAATCTGTAATCTGTATCTATATCATTATTTGGTAATGAATATTGTGCATTTAAGTGATTTTCTGGAGGGGACCTAGTATAAGAGCTATGACCAAATATGGACCGATCGTAAAACTATTTTATAGTGTAATTTATATATATAAGAGCAATATTTGTGCTAAATGTGTGGATATCAATATTTTGTAATGAGTTTTGTGCGTTTAAGTGATTTTCGGGAGGGAACCTTATATGGGAGCTATGACCAAACATGAACCGATCGTGAAAAATTTTGAATTAACATTTCTGTGTACAAAAATAGTATGTATGCCAAATTTTTTATGGGTATCTCCATTTGTTAATGAGTTATGTGCCTTTAAGTGTTTTTCTGAAAGGGACCTTGCATGGGAGCTATGATCAATTATGGACCGATAGGAAAACAATTTCACAGTAATATTTCTGTGTATATGAGCAATACTTGTGTCAAACTTTATATGGATATTTTAATTTAGCAATGAGTAATGCGCGTTTAAGTGATTTTCGGGAAGGGTCCTTGTATGGGAGCTTTGACCAATTATGGACCGATCCGAAAAAACTTTCATAGTAATATTTCTGTATATGTGAGCAATACTTGTACTAAATTTTATATGGATATCTTAATTAAGTAATGAGTTATGTGCGTTTAAGTGATTTTCGGGAGGGGACCTTGTATGGGAGCTATGACCAATTATGGACCGATCGGAAAAAACTTTCACAGTAATATTTCTGTGCATATGGGCAATACTTATTTCAGATTTTATATGGATATCTTAATTTAGTAATGAGTTATGCGCGTTTAAGTGATTTGCGGGAGGCGACCTTTTATGGGAGCTGTGTGCAATTATGGACCGATCGAGAAAATTTTTTCTCTCAATGAATAAGATTTTGATTTGTAAAATTTTGTGAAGATATCAACATTCTGTCCGAAGTTATTAATAAAAAACTCATTTTCCGGGAATATGTACTTTTGTATGGGATGTATATGAAATTATGAACCGATTCTGGCAATTTTCAGCAGGAATCAAGATCTTGTGTAGAAACGAATGTATGTCGACTTTTATGAAATTATCTTGCATAGTTTTCGAGAAAATTACACCAGAATGTGTAAAAAATGCTTATTTTTTCGGAGTTGTTTTAAATTTTGATTCATAACATTTTCCGATGTGAACCGATTTTGCTCATTTTCAATACCAAACTGTACCGGATAATAATGAATATTTTGGCTGAATTTCGTTAATATCCATTGCTTCGTTTTAACGTGAGCGTGTTTTACACAGACAGACGGATGGACAGACGGACATAGCTAAGATGATGTCTACCACCCGTTTTAGAGGACAACGAGATCCAAATGCCGTGGAAGAATTTGTGCCTGTCATATCCGTATTTAAGGATTTTGAAAAGATATATGATGTTGATGCTTTGCGAAGAATGTCATTACTTTTGGAAGATTATGCCTCGTCATGGTGGATTGGTGTGAAGGACAATGTATGTAGGTTTAAGCAGACTATACACCACCCCATTCGGACTACATTCACCCCTCCTGTTCCTGACTGGCGGATTTTTGACAATTTTTTTGAGGCCAAGCAACAAAATAATGAGCCGAGTGATGTGTTCTTTTTTAAGAAGAGACTGCGTTTGTCGCAGCTGAAGGTGTATCCTACTGATACCATTCAACTTAATATGTTATACGGTCTCCTTAATATTAACATTAGAAATCTTGTTCGATGTGAAAATGTTAATATCTTCGAACAATTAATTTCTGCCAGCCGTGAAGCAGAGATGTTTTTATTAAGAGCTCAACCGTTGACAACTGTTCCTGAAGCCAAAAAGAGGTTACTAATACGAATCGCTGTAGCATTTGCCGCGTAAAAGGCCACGACAGAAACCAGTTTTAAAAAAATTAAGCATGACGAATAACAGTCTAAGCAAAATATCAAAATCAACATAAACTTGTGAATCTTGCTATGTATGTGGAGCACCTGGTGTACACAGGTCAAACTGCACTACATGTAGTACAAGCTGTAAGAACAATCCCCAATATTTGGCCTTCAACAAAAATTCGTCCTCTCTTATTGGACATTCATTGCCAATAGCCCAAGTTGAACTTTTTGGTCTTAAAGGTGAAGCCGGTGCTAAAAGCAGTGTTGCAATTTTGGAGTTAAAGAAAATACTCACTTCAAATAAATGCGTTTTTCAAGACGTTCGTGCGGAAGTCACACTTGCAGATGGCTCATTTACTACGGGTAAGGTTATGTTTACCATATGTGAGATCATTATTGGCAACAGAACGCGAAAAATAACACTGATAAAATACCAAATGCCACAAAGAGTAGAACTCTCCTGGGTGCCGACTTCTTGGAACAGGTAGGAATAGTTTTCAACATGACGCAGAAGTACTGGTATTTTGAGGATCAACCAAAACAGAAGTTTTCCATTACCAATTTGATGGAGACGAACATTTGTTATTTGCAAATTAGAGACGAAATTTCCCCATGCTGTATGGCTGTTAGTGAAGTGTCAAAATTCATCAGCTTTGTTGAGGCCCAAAAGATGATTTCAACACTATGTCATACACACAAGAATTCCAATGATTATTCGCACATGCCATACAGAATATATTTCGAGATGCCATTCCTATTGGAGAGAGGATATCTGGTGAAATATCAACTTTATTTGCACTACCAATTAAAGTCCGTAACATCGAGCAAGATGCTTATTTGTCGGAAATATTTATGCCCTTGTACACATTGGAAACAGGATAATCTGTACGTGTTATATAAAAATGTTATTGATGACGACCTCACTTATCAGTTATTGTCATCAACATAGAGGAAGAAGTGACCGACTTAAAAAACGAAGAATTTGATGCATCATCGGGACGATTTCATATGTATATTTTTGTTATTTTTTTAAACATGAATTATATAATTAATTTCATTTTCTTTCAATAATTATTTTAATTTAACTTTTAACGTTTATTTTTTAATTTAAATGATTTTTATCAAATTTGACTGCAGTTTATGTCATAACATTTTAATACAACTCTGTTCATTTAATCATCATTTTAAAAGTTACTTTTAATAAGTGTTTGCGTTTTCGACGGCAATAAATATAATCTTAAAAATAAGATTACTTCAATTTAATTTTTTATTGTAACATATTTTATTTTGTAACTTATTTCATCAAAATTATTTATAATAATCATTATAATCACCCCTATCCCCAATCAACATTACACGTGAAATATGTTCTCTTTTCACTTTTTTCGTTCATTAACGTTTTCGTCGTGAACAAAATTCCCGGTTGTGAAATTTGTTGATAAAATTTTTTAATTATTGAACATGCATACAAAATTATTGTGAATGAATTGTTCACAACAAGTTCACGATAGCAATTTTCCCTTCGAGGGGAATGAGAATTTCAAGGGAACCAAAATTTCACTTCTATTGGCGATAGAGGTGAACATGCATACAAAATTATTGTGAATGAATTGTTCACAACAAGTTCACGATAGCAATTTTCCCTTCGAGGGGAATGAGAATTTCAAGGGAACCAAAATTTCACTTCTATTGGCGATAGAGGTGAACATTTGAAAAATTCAGAATATAAAAAAACTAAACTAATTTGATCAAAATTAAAGTAAAAGTATTTCATATTAAATTCACTACATTTTTAATGATTTATTCCAGGTGGCATACCGTTTCGTTACACTGTCTATTTCAGCAAACAGTGCTTTATGTGTAATTTGTGGTGCTGAGCCCACATTACGTAGCTTACATGAAATTGCAGAAAACACTTTTCGTGGAGAATCAAACATATTACATAGTATGGAGAGATTAATACCGGGAGGTTTGCCAGAACATATTGGATTGGATTCGGGCATTGTAGCCATTATTATTGCCAATATAATGACACGCAAATGTGTATTTTCATCTAATATACATCACAGTGCATCAACAACACGTTACCTCGGAGATTTTTATAATATGGATGTATTGAAAACTTTTTTTGATGATTCCTTTTCGAACGCCTTGTATTATAGGAGTAACTTAACAACAAATAATGTTTGCGAATTAAGCAGTCAATATTGGTCATTGGACACTCATAAGTGTATATCACATTTTGATTTAAATAATAACATAGTTTGTTTATTATTTATTTCATCTATACCAATGCACACTATGAAGTAAGTAAAATTTATTTTATTATAAAATACAATAAACAAATGTTACCTACATATCATTTGAAATCCAAAAAGCCTAATACCCCATTTACACATATATAAAATCAAGTAAATTTTTTACTTTTTACAAATCTATACCGTTTACACTTACTATTTTTGACATTTTTTCTATTATTTTTTAAAATTGTGTTTCATATGAAAAATAAGAAGGAAAGATGGGATATTTATTAAAATTTTATTTATAATAAAAAATAGATATTCAAATATAACATTACCTTTTATTTTAAATTAACTTTTCATTAATTTTTATACCCTATATATAGTGGGGAGAGTATTATGGGTCTGTACTGATGTTTGTATCGCACAAAAATATTGGTCCTACACCCACCTTTAAGTATACCGAACGACTCAAAATAACTTTGGGTTTTTTAACTGATAACTACAATTAATATACTACTATCTCCCCAAAATTGGTACAACTAAGTTTTATATTAGCATGCCGTCGTTTAACCCTTGCCCCCCTATAAAACCTCCATAAAGCCCCCATTAGAAAAATATGTATCTTCGCGGATTCGTTAACTAATGTAATTAATATGTATTTAGAAAAAATACTTGCGTTTTAGCGCAATACAAAAACTCCACATAGGACTTTTTGGAAAACAGTTTTATATTGAAATGTTTCCCATTTTATGTACAGATGCTGAAGATGTTATGATAGATGATGACATCATTCGCTGGGCAATAAGGAGTTTTGACACCTATAAATCTCCGGGCCCTGATGGCATTATTCCAGCGGATCTACAAAATAATTTAGATCGTATCACTCCCTGGCTAAGTAATATTTACAAGGCCTGTTTATACTGGTCCTACATACCTGTACAGTGGACCAGGTGTAACGTGATCTTTATCCCAAAAGGGGGAAAGACATCTCACACCAAGGCAAAAGACTTCAGACCCATCAGTCTGGCGTCATTCTTGCTTAAAACTCTGGAGAGGATAATTGATATCAATGTCAGGATATCTATTGACAAATCTCTACTCTCAAACTCTCAACATGCATACACGAAAGGTAAATCTGTTGAGACGGCTTTACATTCCCTGGTTGGGTACATTGAAAAGTACATGAGCTATGGTAACTTCACTCTGGTTGCCTTTCTCGATATTGAGGGCGCTTTTAATAACGTCAGATCCTCACCTATCTGTCAATCCCTCTCACAGATGGGTGTGGAACGATCCATTGTGAGTTTTGTAAAGAACTTGCTATCTGAACGGACTATTGTATCTTCACTGGGTGATACAACAATCTGTAAAAAGCCATCCGGGGCACTCCTCAAGGAGGGGTGTTGTCCCCTATTCTTTGGAATATGGCAATAAATGAACTATTGGTCAAACTTGACTCACTAGGTTTTAAGACGGTTGCCTACGCTGACGATGTTGCAGTAGCGGTAACTGGTACGCATCTTGAGACTCTGTCTCAGAGATTGGAAGAAGCGCTGAAGATAATAAGCTCATGGAGTGTTAGATGCGGTCTCAGCGTAAACCCAGGAAAAACGGAACTAGTATTGTTCACAAATAAATACAAAATTCCTCAATTCTCCCTTCCACGCCTCAACGGTGAGGTTCTCACACTGTCGGATAGCGCAAAATACTTAGGTGTTATTCTCGACAGAAAACTGTCTTGGAGCTTGAATATCATCTCCAGATCTTCCAAAGCCATTACGGCGTTATACGTTTGTAGAAAGGCTATTGGCCTGCATTGGGGTATCAACCCAGGAAATGTGAATTGGCTATATGAGGCGGTGATTAAACCGATAATGATGTATGGTGTAATTGTCTGGTGGCATGCACTTGACAGAATATCTAACAGAAACATTCTTACCAAAGTTATGAGACAATCTGCTCTTCTCATAACAGGTGTACTTAGGACTACGCCCAGTAAAGCGTTGTTTGCCATGCTGAACTGGCTGCCTGTGGATCTTCTTGCTAAACAACTGGCAATGAATACTGCAGCCAGACTAAGTATTACGAATAGATGGAACTACGGTTCCAGTGGTCATGCAAAGATTGTAAATGTTGTACCAAACCTACATCAAGCTATTGACTACCATATTCCGGAACCGTGCATATCGAGGAACTTCCGGTATAGTTTAATCTGCGATTATAATGAATTAGCACCTGAAAGTGTTGGAAGCTTTAATGTATATACAGATGGCTCAAAAACAACTAAAGGTGTCGGCGGGGGCATATTCATTGAAGAATTCGGGACGAAAATCTCTTTCCGACTCAACGACGAATGTACTATTTTGCAGGCTGAAATCTCAGCTATAAAAAGGGCTTCTAATTGGCTTAGGTACTATCGGATATCCAACAGAGATATCAGAATTTATACTGACAGTCAAGCCGCTATCAAATCCCTGACAGGTGTGTATTCTACATCAAAACTTGTCCAAGAATGCCGGGCGTCTCTAAACGAGATGGCGAGATATTCAAGAATTACCCTTATTTGGGTCAAAGGACACGGGGAAACAATTGGCAATAATACTGCTGACATTCTGGCAAAAGCCGGCACGAGGATGACCATACTGGATATTGACCAGTTCTGTGGTGTCCCCTTAGCGGTCATCAAGAAGCAAATACTTGATTACTGCTTCATTTCAGCCCAGGAGCGATGGTCTCAGGAGCACACTTGCTCGATCGCTAGGCTACTGTGGCCTCGTATGGATTCTCATAAAACATCCTACATTTTAGGGCTAAACAGAATATATCTGAGCGCTTTGTTATCAGTTCTTACAGGTCATTCAAAGTTTGGAAACCACGCTAGACGTATTGGTATTCCATATAATGACTTTTGTAGGAGCTGTCAAAATGAAGAAGAAGAGGAAACTATTACTCATTTTCTGTGTAACTGCCCGGCCCTGGAATCGCTCCGTCATCAGGCGCTGGGTTCGTCTCACTTTTCTGATCTATCTGATCTGTCAGCTATCCAACCTGAGTGTATACTAGCATTCTTGAAATTGTCGAAGTGGGTGTGTAACTAAATACACACTATGATTTTTCTGGTAACAGAGTCTTAACTTCTTCGCTATTCTATACTCATCATTCTACTTTCTATATCTGTTTCTTCACTACTTTCTTTATCACTACTCTTCCCCTTCCAAATGTTTTCCCTTATATTTTCTCTTTACAGACGTTACAAAGGGACCAAATAGGACCCAAGTATAGACTTACTCGTGTTAGTAAGCAGTCTGAAAAACCTAACCTAACCTAACCTATGTACAGATTTTAAGATTTCGTTCGAAATTTGGGCTTAGGGACTTTAAAGGGTATATATAACCAATATTAATACCATGCATCGGATGTTAGCGTTACATCCATAACATCAGCGATATTTACCTTTGTAAATGCAATCTATCCAAATTAGTGGACAAATTGGCCAAAATGAAGAATTTCGAACGGCAATATTAAAACAGGTATTCGGCATCATTTAGACAAATTAAATAAAGAACTAAAAGTCGTGGTCCCAATGAGTATCAAATCTTTGCATATATCTTTATAAATTTCCTTAGCAGTGCTACTTAAAAATATCAATTAAATTAATACTAATAAAGGAATTGTGATTACTTTTCCTGCATAAATTAGCAGAAAATATTAATTTAATTCCTATTAAATAATTTATCTTAGAATTTCGATTGCCCCAAAAGGCAAATAAAATATTATGGCGGTTTTATTATTTAAATCAATATAATTTGAAACACATAGAACTTTTTGTTAGAGAATTTAATATATGGAAATCACATAGGTACTCTTGCTAAATCCTAAACCAATAAACAAATGATAAATGCTTTTGTAAACATGAGTATAACCAGTAGAGCTACAAATTGCAACAATAAAAAAAAATTCGAAAAATCCACATAGTACTAAAATTCAAAAGAGGGACGATATACATATATTCTGGATCCTTACACACAGAAAAAAGAAGAGTTGGAAATTGGTTACTAATACAGTAAATTATTGCGATTATTAAAATATTATAAATATAAACGAATTTCTATATTTACAATTAAAAATTCATATCTATAAAAGAATTACAGTTCCAGTAATTATCAAGAAAGTGTTCTCAATCAATATGTGCTGTTGTTATACTACTTGGATATATCAGTAGAGACAATCAACTGGATTTTAAAAAGATATGTTTTAATAACTAACATTTCGATTACTACAATCAAAATATCTGTTATGAGTATATTTCAGTTTCTGTAACCATCAATGTTTTGTAGACAATTGTAATATTCGGATACAGCAACACTAAATACTTTTGTCTCAATCGAATCAAAGTTTTAATAATAATTTGACATTTTCAAAATAAAAATAACAAAAATAAAATTTATAAAATTTCAACAATTTATATAAAATATTTGTACAATAAGGGTAAGTTTCTATCTAAATATTCAAAATGCATTTGAATGTAACATATTTGCTGATTTCTCCTTTAGCTACATTTCATCAGCCACATAAAAGGCTAGTTTGCAATTGGAGAACATTGGAAATACATATATATATATATATTCCATCCATTAAACATGAAGTATGGATACATTTTAATGTCAAGAAAAGTTTGAAGCTGGAAAAGATTGGAGTACGTTCACAAGCACACAATATTTTCCTGGGTAAAATTCTTGTCAAATGTTATCTAAAAATGTTATTTAAAAATACGAAAATAAAAAAAAAAATACCATGATTCCATTACTATAATCGAATTTTTTAATACCATTTGGAGTTATGTTAACCAATATTTTCGGTTAGTCTATATAAATTATTCGGTACTTTGTATTGAAATATTCGGCTATTACAATTGATTGATGTGATAGTTGTCGTAACCGACCAAATTCGATTGGCAACAAATTCGGTTGCCACAACGAAACTGTTTCCTCTGTGTATAGATTTCGGAATCGATAAAGCCATATCCGTCTGTCTGTTGAAATCAATTTTCTGAAGACCCCAGA